TAAGGCGGGGTTCGAGCTCTACTCTGTCGACCACTGCATTGACACTGCATTGGCACTCTGTCGACCACCATTGGAAGACCAACGTTCGAGGCTCTGGGCGGCCCACTTCGCTGTGTTCGGAAGCAATGTTCTGTTTGCATCATGATGGGCGACGCGATGGGCTTCGCACACACATTCGCCCTAAGCAAGCCACGCCGAGCGGACGCCACATCATACCCGATGCCGCTGGTGCCAAGCATACCCTGGGCAGATGGTGTTGTGGTTTCCTCCCAATCTTTTGAATTAATCTCTCCACCAGAGCCTTTGTTGGGCTAAGCGCAACTTTCTTGGTGTTATTGGGAGGGGTTTGGTGTCTTTGTCTTCGCGTCCTTCCCAACCTTCCGGAAGCCAGTGACAGGCAGGGACAGGCATTGGGGACACAGGAGCTAGTGAACAAATTGACCTGGAAACTGGAGGACGGGGCGTCGAGACTTGGAGGATAGTTCGATGGGAAACAGCGGACCGAGATGGCCTGGTTTTGACGCAACAAGGCAGAGAGGATGGGAGGGGAAGGGGGAGGGGCCAGCCAGGCGCCAATTAACGTCTTCGCCCCTGTCGTCGTCGTCCTCATGTTTCCTTCCGGCCTCGTCCGGCCCTTCAACTGTCCATGACTCGGCCCCACCCCCGCAATCGGAGGGATCCCGCCGACGGTCGAGCTCAGTGCTCACAGGTGCTCACAGCCTCAGACCCTCCGTCCGGCGGCCCGGTGCTGGCAGAAGGTCGATCAGAAAATAATTGACCAGCGCGTCAGTCATATCACAGGCTGAGTTGCGACCATAGGCTTCCCGCCTTCTCGACACAACTCTTCACATCCGGACGGGGGGGAAAGCCTCAAAATTTCCATCCCATCTGCTCCTTCCGTCCTTCGTACATGTCAAGCTCTCATGAGACATGGCCAATTACCTCGCCGCATCCGTCCCCTTCAACCGGGCGACCCCGCAGATTAAAGGCTACAAGGAAGGAAGCCTCTGAAATCGACACCGTCGCTCGCCTTCTTGAATAAAAAGAGGGACCTCGATCTCCTTCCTGCACCCCAGTAAACCTCATTCCCCCCTTTCTCTCCATGCTCTCGCGTATCTTGTCAATTGCAGCCGCGCTCGCTGCCATCGCTCCCCTTGCCTCTGCGGGAGGGTCGATTGAGGACCGCTCCGACCGTGTCTACCAGGGATTCGCGAATAACATCAATGACTTCTTCGTCTCGAGCGGTTGCGAAGGCGCATCGGCTACGACCGGGCGCGTTCTGCCGCCTATTTGGCTGAGGTTGGCCTTCGCGGATGCTGGTAAGTTGATCAACACTCTGTGTTCCGGTGAAGGGAGAGGAGGACGGAGGCATATTCCATCCAAGAATTTTGTGCTCCTGTCTCGCATTGTTGACTGAATCATCGGCCACCTCCTCCCCCTCCCCGCTCTCCATGGCCCTGATATTTCCAGCGACCTGGTTCCATGGCAATAGGTCCTTCGGCTTCGATGGGAGCATCATTAACGAGTTTGATCGCAACGGCAACGAGGGTCTCGTCCTTGAGGACATGGCCCATGAGCAGTTCCCCGAATTCGGACTGGGAAGGGACAGGAGCGGTACCTCGATCCTGCTCGCAGACTCTGTAAACCTCGCCGCTATCATAACCATCGCATCCTGCGGCGGCCCCCAGATCCCATTTACTAGCGGTCTCTCTCACGCCGGGCCGGACCCAGACCACCTTCTCCCGCTCCCCAGCGACTCGCACGAGGTCTCCGTCGCCAACATGCAGCGCATGGGTTTTAATGCGTCCCAGATCGTGGCGATCGTGACTGGTTCGCATACGCTTGGTGGCGTGCATGTGGCCAATAACCCGCATCTGACGAACGAGACTTTCGCGGCGTTCGACTCTACGCCTGGCTTTTTCGACAATGATGTCTTCAAGCAGGTTCTTGAGGGGAACTGCCGCGTCCCCTTTGACTGCTTTTTAGCGCAAAACGAGCCTTTTAAGAGCTTCGTCGAGCTGTAAGTTGTTCGATTCTTTGTGCAACTACCATCCGCCCCCTCCCCCCAGTCGTGTTTCCTCTGCGAATTTTACAACTCACAGCCCCCCTTTCCCTCCCCGCATGCCTTATGCAGTTACGCCGAGGATCAAGACGCCTTCTTCGCGGCTTATGCCGATGCGTACGGCGCCATGTCGACCTTCAACAACTTGGCGAACGCCTCCTTCACCCATACTATCACTGGGATATTCGCCCCTGCCGCCCCTACACCCATCACCGCCGCCAACACCACCAGCACCTCCGCCGCCCCCATCCCCACCACCATCGCCGTCGGCCCCTCCACCGCCATCGTGATCACCACCGCCGCTCCTCCCCCCACCACAATCCAGATTACCACCGTCGCTTCTCCCGCCCCTGCCCACTCTACCACCATCCAGATTACCACCGTCGCTCCTCCCGCCCCTGCCCCCTCCACCACCATCCAGATCACCACCGTCGCTCCTCCCGCCCCTGCCCCCTCCACCACCATCAACGTTTGCTCCTCATTTGTCGGTAGCGGCGCCCCCCGTGCCCTTTCCC